GGGCTGAGAGAGAATGACTGGCCCAAAGTCACCCAGCTGGCTTTCATGCCTAAGAGAAAACTAGAACTCAGAGTCTCCTGGTTTCTGGGCCAGCACCTTCACCAGTAGACCAAACTGGCTTTCTAAATCATCTCCAAATACAGCCCAGAGTTACAAAAGGTTGTTTGACTCTACTCTGTAAAGATCTTTGGCCTGATCCTCAGAGTGATGGACCTACAGACAAAATAATGCCTTTTCATTTTGGGGGAGAGTGAGCAAAAGCAAAGGGAGTAAATAATCTGGTTCATGGGTATGCAACTTCCATCAGCTCAGGGGTCACACCTGACTTTGTATGGCTCGGCAAGGGACAAACTACACAAATAGGATCCACATTCTGTGAAGTGGGTATTAAGAGGAGAACTGGATACCTTAGCTCCCTTAAAGCAGACACTTGGTCCTCAGCTTTCTCTAATCCCAGCAAAATGCTCAAAGGATCAAATTCTTTGGCTCTCCCACTCTGGAAGGCACTGGGGCCACAGGAATGATTTGTCCACAAGCCACACTTTTGCAACCCTGCTGTAGGTTTCATGTCAGCTATGTGAAATCTTATTTTGGCTCCTCTCACTTTCCCATCTCCAATTACAACAAAGGAGGCCTCCCTAAATACTTCTAATATTGAATTAGAGGCTGATGTGAAGAGCAGCCAGGAGGGAGAGAGAGAAAAATGAAAGAGCATTACTGTCAACCAATTAATGGCTGGGTCTAATTCTGAGCTTTTGAGAAACTTTTCTCTTTAAGGAAGTCTTCTAACAGGGAGAGGGTCTGCTCTGCAAAGTCAGAGCACATACTCTATATGAAGAGGGCCCTTCCCAAGCTCTGTTTCTAGGCAGTCTAGTTAAAAGGATCTAATACTCTGGAGCAGTGTTTCTCAACCTTGGGAACTTGAAAATGTTTGGACTTCAACTCCCAGAATTCCCCAGCAAGCATGGCTGGCTGGGGAATTCTAGGAGTTGAAGTCCAGACAACTTGAAGTGGCCATGGTTGAGAAACATTGCTCTGGAGACTTGCTGGCTATCAAAGCAACAGTACAAGAAAATGGACTCAGTCTGGGGCATTCATGTATTTTCCTTCACCCCCAACCCTCCCCTAGGTTGCTGCTGACTCATTGTGGAGCCCAATGTAAGCTTATTACGTATTTTAATCCAGTCCTCCCTTAACGTGGACATCCTCCAAGCATTGGGTCAGAACTGAGAGATCTGTTTTGGCTTTTCAACTATATTCAGCCTATTTTAAGAATTACACTACAAATTTTACACACCTCAACATGTTGGGAAGCCATGCCACTGATTTTCAGTGATTCTTACTTGCAGGGACTTTGGAAGGCTTAAAAGGGTTCACATGTGGCCGGGGAGGGGTCTAAGCTGCCCATTCAGATCCTGCCACATGCCTGTCTTTCCACCAGACACTAAGATAATGAATATGATTTATTATCACCATTTGTCATTCAGAAAAAATGACAGAGAATAACTCAATGTTCAATTTTGGTACAAAAATCAAATGTACCAAACCCAAGAGAAAGTCTTACAGCACTTAAATACAAATAGGTTCTACAATAAATATCTATGGACACAGCTCACTTTGCTGCAGACATGATGAAAACAGAGTGAACCTCTGCTTGCTCCTTAAAAAAAGAAGACCACCAGCCAAGTGCTCTAACTCAGCCCTACTAAAACAGTGGATAAGTAGAGGATCCAAAGGCATTTTCAAGACCAACCAAGACAAGCTTGTTAAAGAACATTTCTCACTAGATTCTGAATATGTATATGTGTGTGAGAGTGAGTAGTGAGAGAGAGAGAAAGAGAATGAATAAAACGATGGTAGGGAAAGAGGGAAATTGTTGCTTTCCCTTGGTCAGGAATTGTGTATCTAAATTTAAATTAAATCTTAGCAACTTAGCCTAACACTTTTCTCATTTTTCTTGGAAAAGTTTCATTTTTGAATCAGAGATCCTGCGAAGATTCATTTTAACATCATCTTCTAAACCATTTATACAGAGGGTCCTTTATCCTGAAATATATCATCTGCCAAAAACCAAAGCAGTATATAAATACTAAATCTAACTGAAATATTAGTACAGTAGTTCAATGACAGTTTGCAAAGTTTTCCATTACTCTCCTCTTGACTTTTTTCATTCAAAATCTGTTGAGAAATAATCCTTCGTGACCTTACTGAAGAAGGTCTACACTTTCTACTAACACCCAGGTAAAAGCAGGCAGGTTTCTGAACCATTACAAACTCTGAAACCATTTACTAGAGACAACAACACATGTACCAATGCCTCTACTATCTCACATTCAGCTCTCTGAAAGAAAAAACATACATTACCCCCAAGATCAAAAGCCAACTCTAGAAATGGCCCTCATCCAAAGAGTAGTAATAGTATCAGTACCAATTAAATTAAATTAAACCTTTACTGTAAAACCATCTGGCCCAGACCTGATACAGTATAAAGGTACTCCTTTGGTTACCAGGCCCACAGCTTTTAAAAAGAGAATCCTTATGTAGTTCAACAAACATTTATCGCTGGAAACTAATTACCTCCTCTTTTTGTGTTCCAGATTTGCCTTCTAGACACTTATGATCTGTTTCATTTTTATGGTTCTTGCTCTTTTTTTAATATAAGGCACCCAGAGTCATCTGGACTTGGGTGCCCTCTAAATTCTATTACATTAAATTAAATTAAATTAGTCACAGGAAAACTGGGGATCAGCAAATCCATGCTGTAGCAGGCAGCAATTTACATATATTCCTCTAACGCTGGGTGGGATGTCTTGTTTTCAGCACTGATCACTTCCCAGCTGCAAACTTACACCATTTTAGAACTCAAGCATATCTTCATAAACAGCTGAATCTAAAAAGCAAATAATCAAGTAGGAGAATCTGCTCTTCCAAAATGCGATTAAGTTCCTTTTCTTAAGCATTTTTGGAAACTGTGATATTAAAAAAGTGAAGTAAGACCAAAAAACCTACAGACACCCAATGTTATATAAATAAACCTTATAAGTTTATTTATATAACATTATATCCTTATAGGCTTATACCCATCCTTATAGGCTCTACCCATAAAGCTTATTAAAAAGGAGAGAATGAAGAAACTGGATGTAAAATCAAATCTTGCTGCTAGAAAGTGCTCAAGACACGAGTAGAGGCCCAATGGTTGGGGAGACATAGCAGAGACCGGCGATCAATGGCTGTTTTCAGAGCGATTCAGGGAGCTGGCAGTGGGAAATAGAGGGTGGGTAGAGAGACAGGATAAAGGAAGGGGGTGTGGATATTAAAAAGAAAAAAAAAGGAGACAGGTTAGATCTCAGCCTGAAGAAAAGCATCACACTAATTAAAGATAATAATCATATCTCTGCTGAGAACAATGACACCACCTGTAAATTATAGAATCGTTATACCTTTGATGCTGGATCGTTACTATATTTCATTGCAATGCTCACAAAAAGGGCCAATTTGATAGTTGGTTCTTATTTCTTAAGGCCAGTAATTTCATCTGTTTTTGCCTATTCTACCCTTGTAGCACTATCCATTTATATGGCAATTTACAGAAGCAATAATAAAGGTTGAAATGTAAAGAAAACGGCAGGATTCATACACTGCAGTTTGCTTGATTTATGGCTCAGTGTGTTGTGTAAACCCAGTCAATTATAATTTATTCAATAAACCAAACTTAAGCCATGACTTAGAGCAATGTATGAATGAGGTCAATGGGTTCTCAAGAGCTACCCTAGCAGAAGCAACTGCACTAAAACCACAAAATTTTGTGGAAGCAGATTTAGATCAATTTGTATAATATGTTTCATATAAACAAATTAATAAATCTGGGTAGCCAAAATGGCCAGGTTTCAAGCTGGTATTGCATATTAGACAGATACACAAGCGATTCCGACCCTGGATTTGCCAAATGTAACAGAGAACATATTTGCAGATCACAGAATAACAACTTGGTATCCTCCAAAAGCATTGGCTGACATGTCCCATCATTCTCAGCCAGCCCAGCCCAATGTCCCTATGGCTGAGTATTATGACAATGATGTCAACTTGGAGAGGACTGTTGTGAAAATATTTTTTCCTAAAGCCCCTTCCACATCTTGGTTTCCAACATCTAACATGCTTCTTCCCAGCATCAAAGGCATTACAACATGCCACCTGTTGGCATCCCCGTGTCCTACAAACTCACTGCCAGCCAAGCCCTCCAAATCTCTGTTCAAAAAATCCTTGGAATATGTTCAAATGAAAGTGTTGGCCTCCAGCCATCACTGACTTCACATCCCACATAGTTCAGTAAACCATTAACAGCCATCACAGACGGAATGTAAATAGTAAAGGAAAGTTCTTAGTATCAGTTAAGAATGATAACAAAACATGCGAAACAGCACATGCAATGCAACATGGACAGCTGGAAGATATACAGAATGAAAGAGAGCTCAATGATGTGTCCAAATTCTGTGCTCAAAATTACACTTACTGAATAAGTCCCCACATAGTCTCTTTTTCGCTTCAGCCAAACAATTTTAGAATAGTATAAAAGAAAATGAAAATTGAGAGATCGGAGGTTCTTTGGGTCCTCCATTATCTTTGCTGCCATCCTGGTTCACCTGACTACCTAGCAATCAAGCGTCAGTTCTACTCTGCCCTGGTCCCCTGGTCCAAGGAGAGGAAACTACACTATGATTATTAGGCAAGAGTAGAAATACATTAGAGATAATTAGGCAACAAGAAGATACTGAAGCAGAAAGATAATTTAACTGTTGCTTGGCAAACAAAAGTTCATCCTTCCTCCTTGTGCTTCTAAGTTAGAGCTGAAGGGTTGCTGCATGTGACCGGAAGTGAAAGGAGTAAACGCAGCATGCATTCATAGCTTTTACATGACGACCACAGAAACAGAGTCAAGGCTGCAATGTCATACTAGTCCTGTGAGTAAACTGGAAAGCTCCAAAATGCCTCTCCATTCTTACCTGGTTCTCCGCCTCTGTGAAAGCAAGTTGCTCGGATCACCATTTATCAGATGTTGGGCAGCTGCATGTGGGGGACAGAGACGCAGGTTCTTCAGCAACTCTTGCTCGTTGAGGAAAGGTTTGAGGCAGCCCCGCACTGGAGAATTCCCCACGCTGCTAGAACGGGTCAGTGCCCGAGATTGGTTGAAGGGCCAAGGTGGTTCAGCCTCTTCCTTCAGGACTACAAGGAAGGGGAAACAAACAAAATAAATGGGAAAAAAAATCGTTAGTTCTTAGCCAGACTTAACATAACCTAGTAGACAGAAGATCAGTAGACAGAATCTTGCTGTTCTGGGTTCCTTACCATCCATAACATCTTATCTTCCAGATTTTTGCTTTCAGGCCCAGGTCATCAGCAAAAGATACCTGCTTTTCTTCACTATTGGAAGACTGTCCTCACTAATAGGAACTCAGCTAAGACTAAGTTGGAAAATTCCTTTCTCTCTGCTCCACTTTTGATCACCCTAGCATCTTAAGAACAGTGTGAAGCTGGCACATTTTAAAGATTATCATGGAGTCTAGGCAAGATCTTACAATTTAGTTTTTCATATAAGAATTCTTCCCAGAAAATACTAATTCAGATCCCTCTGATTCCTGAAGAGTCAAAGAACAGGATTTAGATTCTTCCTCACGGAAGGGAACTTTAGATTTTTCTTGGACATCAAATAGTGTTCCCACCCCAAGCTAGATGAAGTCATCTAACAGAAACAAGTGCTACAAAACCAGAATAAAATCATGCACGTGTACTTTTGCCTCATGAACTCACCTGGCCCCCCCTCCAAAAGCAGACCAAGTAGGGTACTAAAATAGGAGAAGGCAACCAAAGGGGAGCCATTTCCACAAAGTTGTAACAAGAAGTCATTTCCGTTTAGGCACTGATTCACCTGAATTATCTCAAAAAGCTCACTCATTTCCCAGTTAAGAATGAGCATTGCTTACATTCTCGATCTGACAGAGAATATGGTTTTATGTCTCCTTCAGGACGTTTTAGAGGCAGCTTCCTCGCTGGAGCTGCAACAAAAGGGAAAGCAAGGCAAATAAGCATTTGGTGGTGGTGGGAAATTAATACAAAAAATACCTCCAGAAATATAAGTTTCCATTCTTATGAGGCAATATGTTTCAAGAATCACATTGTGAAGAATGGCTATTCAAAACAATGTGGAGATGTGAGAGGACAAATCCCAATAAATTAGTCTAAAACTGCAGAGCACTGATCAATTATGAACAGCTAAGTCAGTGTTGTCCAAATTTGGCCACGTTAAGATGAGTGGACTTCAACTCCCAGATTTCCCCAGCCCCATGCTGGCTGGGGAATTCTGGGAGTTGAAGTCCACTCATCTAAACGTGGCCAAGTTTGGACAACACTGAGCTAAGTGAAAGAGCAGAAACAATGTCATACATTTGAAACATTTCCATCACTCAAACTAGACAATCTGTCCCACAAACTGCAGGAACCATGTCATTAAGTGAAGGACTCTCCCTGATCAACTATAGTACATTGAATTTATCTACTGCAAGATTGCCAGATGCTGGAAATTATTAAAGCACAAAAACTTAAACCTAACTGAAGGAGGGAGAAATTCTAAAGATGACGCAGAAAGATTGTAGAAGAGCTCCCACAATTGGGCTGGACTGCTTTTTACTCACACTATTTTGGATCATTTATCAAAGGAGACTAGACAATTTTAGAGAACAAATTTATCAATGAATACTAGTTTTGAGGACTGTTCATCTCTACATAGAACCGGAACAACAATGGGAGAGGAGATCTCCTATTTGTGGGGTCCCTAGAGTTATTATTGTGGAATCAATATTATTGTGCTAAGTTTGGTTGTCTGCTTGCAGACATTTCACTACCCAACTAAGTAACATCATCAGTGCTACTGAATGTGGAGTTTGCTCCCTGTTTATATACAATAACTTGCTCTGCCAGTATTGGTGGGGATGTGGTTTTCTCCTTGGTAGATCCTTGATTACGGTATTGTTTTCGGCTTGTTTATCTGGTGTTAATCCCTGTTTATCTGGGTGTTGGTTGCTGGAGAAAATGTTTTCTGGTCTTTTTGTTTCCTTCTTAGCTTTTTTTTAATTGTCTCTTTTGAATGGTGTGTAAGATGTGGCTTATCTCTATGTGTCTACTGATGGCTGATTTGTCTGAGTGCCAAGTTTTCAGGAATTCCCTTGCATTTTTGGATTTAGCTTGGTCTAGGATGCTCGCATTTTCCCAGTTGAAACTATGGTTGAGTCTGTCCATGTGTTGTGAAATTAAGTAGTTTTCATTGTGTCTTCTGACTGCTAGTTGATCTTGAATGTGCTCTGCTAGTCTTCTGCCTGTCTGTCCTACATAGTGGCTGTTACAGTCCTTACACTGTATGTTGTGGATAACTCTTTTTCTTCTTTTTGGGCTACTGGGTCTTTTGTTTACTTAAGATATTTTGGAGGGTTTTAGTTGGTTTGTGTGCTATAGTGGTTGTAATAGTCTGTTGATTGTTTCTGAATGTTTTTGATGTATGATAGTGTTATCCTTTTCATAGTTTGAATTGGTTGTGCTGTAATGGGTTGTGCGATCAGGCACTTTTTGATAAAGTTGCGTGGATATCCATTTGTTGGAAGATGTTGAATAGGCAGTCTGTTTCCTTCTTCTGGTGTTCTGGGTTGCTGCAATGCATTTGTGCTCACTTGAATAATGTTCTTACACAGC